GTAAAATGAACTGAAATCAGTGAAATCAATGCAGTGTATCACATCTGAACTGGGTCGCCCCTATCTCCATAATTTGTACCTCCCAGATCCATTGAAAATCAATGATACCATTAACACTGCTGAAACTTCAATGGAAGGGATACTGTCAAAGTTGATATTTATCTTGGGTCAGTAAGCCTAATCATCTGTGGCATTGCAATTTGCTGTGCAGAGTGACATCCCCTTAGTAAGTCAAAAAGTAAGATTGTGAGTTTGAATCACAATTCACTCTGATTATGTTTGTAAATATCCCTCATATCCCCTCTCATGGGTTTTACCAAAGTGGTAAACGCCAGATATTCTGTCTTTCCTCCATTATAAAGCCGCATCTCTGATATAGCTAGGATACTGTTAAAAGTGATGTTAAACAACTCACCACTGTTTTTTCCTAGGTTGAGACAGTTTGTCGGTGCTCATGCACTACAAGTACAGCAATACATTCCTGAAGGGGACACAGTGAAAGGTGTCCACATGCTGTATCTGTTTGGAATATATAACCTGGCTCTTCATGTTAAATGTTTTAATTACATGAAAACACTTTGACCCACCCCATTTGTTCATAGACCAGTATAGTGACAATTCCTTGTTCTGCCATCTTTACCTTTCTGCAGTTTTTTCCTCCACCATTTTAGCTGATCATATCTGTTGTTTTGTGAAATTAAATCCTAATTTCTATTTCTGTAGGGCCGGGAGGGTAGCCCAGTGGTTAAAGCGTTCGCTCATCATGCCAAAGACCTGGGTTCGATTCCCCACATGGATACAATGTGTGAAGCCCATATCTGGTGTCCCCCGCTGTGATATTGCTGGAATATTGCTAAAAGCGGCGTAAAACCATTTCACTCACTTCTATTTCTGTATGTGAACATTAAGGTTATGGTATCTTAATGGAAAGTTTCTGAAACATTTTGAAAGTTAACAAACATATTGACAGCAAGTTCAAGCTGGCAGCGTGATGCAATTATTTGTGCATCTGATTGTGTATGTTTCTGCATGGGACTAAATTACATATTTCTCTGCCCTCAATTTTTGAAATTCAAACATATTCTTAACAAAGTACACATAGGCTAAATTCCTCTCAAAATGATGTCTGTTGTTTTCTTCAGCAGCTATTTTCAATGATGTCAAGGAATTCTACTTTCTTTGTGAACAAACCATGTTATTTTGTGACTTCCAGATGTGTTTGTCCTTGCGTATGTTCAACATAACTACAAAGCTGGTTAATGATGTGTGTGTGTGTGCGTGTGTGTTTGTGATAAGTAGTCAGTTATTGTGGCAACTTAACACACGTGTGTGAGATGTGTCTACCCACGTCATCGCCATCTGCTAAAAGTCCACGTGTAAGATGTCATCATTTGTTGTGTTCAAGTGGCGTGCTGCTGTCTCAATATTTTCACTCTGTTGTACAGTAGTCCGAAATTGATGCAGATGTCTTGAAGTTCGGTTTTATTTTTATTGAGAAAGAGCAATAATAGCGTGATTGCAAGCATGTGTTTTGAAAATGACATTTTTCAAGGAGGATAATATTTTCGTTATTTTTTCTTTCACTTTCAATGTTAGTTTTCACCTTTGATCAGCAGATTTGTACCATGTTTCTTGAGATGATTTTTTTTTTAAATTGCTAAGTTAGTACAACCGAAATATCTGCAGATAACAGTTTTAAAAATAAAGGATTTTGAAATTTAACAACTAGTGTAACAGCTTCATCACACATGTTATTATTTTAGTGCATACATGTGCCAGCATGATGGATTGAATAAAATAGCAGTTTTCTCTTTCAGCTGATTGCAATCAAGTTGTTTGTTAGTCATTGTGGTTTCAGGAATTAAGGGGATATGTTCAAAGGAAAGTGCATTTTTCAAGGATATTGTCAGGTTCCCATGTCGCTAAAATGATGCAAGGTTTACCGGAACGATTATTTATGGATAAACAACTTCTTTATTGCAATGGATGCAATGTTTCGAGGTGTAGATGCTAACACCGTTATCAAGCAACTTGTCTGTCCTTATAAACCTCCAGTGACGTCACTCTATTGTCTTGCCAGGTTCACCTTTTACCGGGTAACAGGCAGTTTCGCTGGCATTCTCCAAGAAATCCCGGTGATTTTCTACAGACCTGCTCAGGTCCCGGGGATTTTCTGGGGAATAGCCCTTGTATTGACTGTGAATGAGTTTACTTGTACAAGTTTTTGATACGATAATAAAATATCACATTATTGAAAACTTCCGATATATTGTGCCGATGCCTGGTTTAGAACCTGCAACCCTTTGCTTACTAGCTTGGTGGTTTTATCCACTAGCCTACAAATGATAGTTGTATAGAATGTGATTATTTGTCAGCATGACATGTGTTCCCCACAAGGCGGGCAGCTCTTGCAAAGCACATGCATAGAGCGTGCAAGGCAAGGTATCAGCTGCCAGTCACATCCCAGTTCATTTCAACAGTAAATACCAAATATTAAAATTATACTAAGTATCTAACGTATATCTTCGGTCGGTTCATAAGTTCGATCAAACCTCCTCCTCGGTTTTGTTTGAAAAAGTAAGCCCTGGCCTCGGGAAATTGGTGTTTCCCTCTGTCGCAGGCTTACTTTTTCAAACAAAACCTCAAAGTTGGTTTTGATCCTTCACATATAAAATGGTTCCTGTTCATCATACCTAAATGTCACTCCAAGAAGGATGCAATGTTTGTTTGTTGTCGCAAAATTCCAACGGTTAGTAATTGACAAGCCAGTGACTGATGAAGTATCATGAACTGTATCATGAACTGAAGTAATTTTTTGTCTTGTCATATGTTTGCAATGTTGCTAGAAGCAGTATAAAACTCCATACTCTTCAGTTTCACTCCACTTCACACTGCTCCGCTCCACCCCAACCCTCTCTGTTCTGTCACCTCTGCTCTGTTCCACTCAATTCTGCTTTACACCGCTCTACTCTATATCACTCTGTTCTGCTCCTCTCCATTCAGCTCCGCTCCACTCCACTCCGCTCCGCTCCACTCCACTCCACTCCACTCCACTCCACTCCACTCCACTCCACTCCACTCCACTCCACTCCACTCCACTCCACTCCACTCCACTCCACTCCACTCCACTCCAAGCTAAAGACTTCCCGGTGTTCCGGTAGTTTATCTGCCATGACACATTAACTACAATAATATAAAATAAGTGAGTGCTCCTTGATTTTTTTTAGTAGTATACATTGCAAGCAGTGTTAACTCAACTCACTCACTTTAAAATCATTACCTGAAAACCGATCATTGTATTTTCTGGCCTTACATATTTTAGTTCCTTGTTCTTACTCCTACAATGATCCAAAAATGAATCCACATCTATATTTAGCACAAAAACAGGAAGTTTGATGGAGTGTATAATCTCAGCAGGCACAGTTGTCTTGTATAAACAGACCTTGAAGTAGATCTTGTTGAACCTCTTGTGTCACACATAGTGATTAATACTACTCCTTATCCTCAGAACTCGGGGCTGTGACAACATGCTTCATCCAGGCTCTGAAAAAAGTATAATTTAAAGGCTCTGTTTGACAGGAGCATCAGTTTGGAAATGGCTTGACCTTCTTTGAAGAAGGCTGAGAAAACAATTACTTCTTTGAATAATTAATTAATGGCTTGATATGACCTTGATGTGGCCTTTAAATCTGCAGATGGAAAAATGCTTTGCTAATTGGAAGGTTTGTTTTTTGAGCATGAAATTGAAAACAAAAGTCTTCTTCAAATACGTATAATGAACCAGGTGAAACATTCTAGTCTACTTAGACGAGTTTTCCAAGATTATTCGTTTGTGAACCTTTTACAAAAACATCAAGTCAGTCCACCAAATAATTGCCCCTTTTAATGATTCCAGGTTATAATAGGTACCCAGAAACCTAGGCATGCTGATTGTGTGGTCATAGTGACCCGAAGGCATGGGCCTGGGTTGTTGTTCATGTATCTTCACAAAACAGTCCTAGTATCTCTAAGGCGTGTAATGATAGGGTTAGGCTGCGATACATTACCTATCCTCATAAACCGCCTCCGTGGTGTAGTGGTTAGAGCGTCCGCCCGGATTGTGGAAGGTCGCGGGTTTGATCCCCGACCGCGTCATACCAATAGATGATAAAATATGGTACTTGTTGGTCCCTGCCTGGCGCTCGGCATTAATGGGTACAACAAGGACTGGGTGGCTCCGAGTCAGTATAATGTGTCTGAGTGGGGTATTCATGCTTCACTGTGGCATGGTATCTCAGTGGGCTAGCACTATAAAACCAGCTTCAGTCTGGGCTAGTACAAGCAGCCACGCATACACATACACACGGATGCACGTCGTCATATGAGCGAAATATTCTCAAGCACGACGGTAAACCTAATTTCACCTCACCTCACCTCAAAGATGGGATATTGTAGGGGCAAAACATAGGATGGGGCTTCTCACATGTTAAAGTCATCCCAAGGATGCCAGAGGTCTGAACACTTTTGGTTGTTCCTGTTATCACCAGTTCATCCTCGATAATCTCCAGGGTATAGATAAATCCGATAAATCTCCACTAGTATCTTGGATGTATCTACGGCTCGGCCTGATCATTTTATTACCTCCCTTTTGATTATAGAGGATGTCACCAGTTGGTCTAGGAGAGTTCTTGGTTAATTTCTATCTCTTTTTCAACCCAGCCGCCACCCACGAACAGTATTGATATATACATACCGCTATAATATACTAACAATTAGTGTCTGAATAATATATAGTTTAGATTAAAACAACTCGGTGTAAATTGAAAAGGAGCCCATGTTTGGAGGAAGATTCAGACCTGAGGAAAGTCTAGACCATCTTCATTTTTAGCTTTTGCATTGCCGAACAGGCTTTGCTGAATGGAAAATAAGGTGGCTTAAGTACTGTGAGCCAGACTAACCGCAGTGACTAAACGTTGGTTTTGTGAGTGTCAAGTTACTGACTGCATTGACTTGTGTTTCAGACAGTCCAGGCACAAAGGGGGATGTAGCAGACGATGACCGGGTGAAGGTGCGAGTGACCAGAGTCAAGACAGGCGATACAGTCAAAGATGGAGTGGATGTGCCAGAGGAACAGAAACAGCAGTTGGAGCAGACGGTCAAAGATGAACTCATCAAAGCTGGTTTGGACGCTGGAGGTATGTTCAGTTATTACTTGTGGAAGGGGTTTCATCTGTCTTCAGTGATTCTGACTTGACATGCTGACCTGAAATTGTTGTCTGTCATCATCATACCACTGGTAATTTGTTGGAATGCTTGCGTAACCTTGCTAATAGATGGTTTAGGATGCTACCTGATTGTATTCAACTTTGATTTGAACCTAGTCTGATCTATGGCACCATGCTTAATTTGCAGGTATACTTGTTGTTAGATGTGACAGTTTGTGTGGTCACTGAATTGATACTTGTCATTGCATCCCAGCATAAAGCGCTGGCTTTTCTGGCCCAGACTTAATTATTACAACCGAAATATTGCTTAGTACTGTAAAACATAACTTTGTTCTTTTTGTAACATAAATTTACTTTCCAAATCTCCTCTGTGAATGAACCCTTTAATGTTTCTTGGAGGCTATCCACGCATGATCTATGTGAGGAATTTTGTTTTTGAGAACCAACCATCTATATCTGAAACAGGGTAGATCACAAAACTGGTTGTCATGACTTAAAGATGGTGATAGATGGGTGTGTTAACCATTGTTTAATTTTTTTATCACAAGAATTTGTTATGAAAGTCTATTTTGGACACCGGGAGGTTGCTTTTAGCCACAGTTTCGCACACGGCAAGAGCCTTTTGACTTTCGTCTGAGATAAATCCTCCAGTAAGTACATCAACATGATGAGGATGTGAGCTGCAGTACGGCAAGTAGTGGCAGAACATCAACAGGTTGTTGTAGGGAAGTCCTGTCCATGTGTTCGCCATTGCTGGACAATTTAGAACAATCCTGCCTGGCTTGCTGGCAAGCTTCACATAACTTCCACATCAGGCACAGCTCAACACCGGGGTAATGAGAAGTGCCTGCTCAAACAACTACCTTTTTTAAGGGGTCCGGGCCCTGTCTTAAAACTATGTCACTAAAATATTTAAATACTGGTTTGTCAAACTACTAGCCTTTTTTAGGGGTCCGGGCCCTGTATTAAAACTATGTCACTAAAATATTTAAATACTGGTTTGTCAAACTACTAGCCTTTTTAAGGGGTCCGGTCCCTGACTTAAAATTACGCCACTAAAATATTGAAATACTGGTTTGTGTAAAACCCATTGCCTCTAAAATTTTGCTCCTTATCGAATATATTCCTTATATTGAAATTTGGTCAGTTAATTCATGTGAATACAAAATATATTTTGTGTAATATGAAATTTTTCACTGAATTTTGCATGAAATTAGTGTTCAAATCTTATGAAAGTTGTTGTCACAGCCTTGAAGTTAAAAGTCGAAGGTTTATGATGTCAGTGGAGACAAATACTGTTGCAACCTTCTCGTAGACCTCAGTACCCCTATATTTTCAAAGACTTATGATATAATTGGGAATTCCTATTATTGAAAAGTCTCAACATGCTTGTGTCCCCTAACATGCTTTGACTGTAATATTGTTAAGATTAGAATAAAACACAAGTCACTCACTCACTTGAGTGAAATGTATGCTCGGGGATGACACAGTGTCTCATGGTTTTTCTTCATGGCTGGGGGTGCTGGGGAAGCTTAGGGGTTAAAGCATCTGCTCATCTCACCAGTGACATGGGTTTGATACCCCACATGGGCTCAATTAGTCTGTCTCACAGTCCCTGAAACACATTATTTTCCCTACTGCCAAGCCCTCTCTGCAGTGCTAAAGCCCTAAATAAAGCAAGTCTAGATTTCCTTAGGTTCAGGTCTCTGGTCTCCCTGGGGCTCCTTTTCCATTTATATGGACTTGTTTGTTACTATCAAAATTATATATATTCATTAACTAAGCATTAGTCTAGGGCTCGATGTGTGAAGCCCATTTCTGGTGTCCCCCCCACTGTCATATTGCTGGAATATTGCTAAAAGCAGTGTAAAACCATACTCACTCACTCTTTGATTACATGGCATCTGCACTGGTAAACAGTTGCCTTTTTAATAAATCGGGAATATGCTTGGGATTCATCGGAAGTGCGTCAGGCATGTATTAGCATAAGTTGGGTGCGTCCAATATGCTCGACATGCGCACTGCATATGTAGCTATTTGCAGCAAGAAAAATGTGTTCCGCAAATCATACACAATGGATGCTCTGAATTTGTTATTTATACTCTAGATGTGCGTCACACATAAGTTAAAGTAATAAAAATAATTTTGAGCGTATGGCTGTGTATTGAATTATTTTTATAAGGAACTCATAAGAACTTGATATACACAAAAGTGTGACTCTGGTTCAAGGTGTTAGTTGCATCTGTGAGCATAGTAGCAAATATCTCTTCCCTTGGGGATCCTGATCAGAATTCGTCCCCAACAAAATACGCAGGTCATAAGAGGTTACCTGCTAAGGTGATCAGGCCTGATGACTTTGTTAATTGCACATAATTGTGCCCTAACAGAGCTCCACTCACTCCACCCCATGGTTCCTCCACTCCTCCAGGTTCCGCTCTATAAGCTCTATTTTACTCAACCGTAAACCTCCACTCCCCATGAAGCTTCTCCCATATTCCCGAGACGCCGCTCACTCCACCCTAAAGCTCCATTCAAGCCTTCCATACCATGCTTGTCGTAAGAGGCGACTAACGGGATTGGGTGGTCAGGCTCGCTGACTTGGTTGACACGTCATCCGTTCCCAATTGCGCAGATCAATGCTCATGCTGTTCCAGACTCGATTATTTACAGACCACTGCCATATAGCTGGAATATTGCTGAGTGTGGCGTAAAACTAAACTCACTCACTCACTCAAGCCTTCCATAAAACTCCACTCACTCCACCCTAAAGCTCCACTCACTCTACCCTAAAGCTCTAGCCTAAAGTTTTACTCAAGCCTTCCCTAAAACTCCACTCAATCCACCCTAAACCTCTGCTCATCCACCCCAAAGCTCCACTACTTCACAGAACCTGGATTACTAAATCATGGGTATTGTGTAACTTCTCAATGAATATTTAGATGCTTTCAGCAAATATATGATAAATGGGAGTCTGAATCAATATACTCTTTGTTTAATTATCATAGCCATTTTGAAAACATAACTCAGTCCAAAGATTTAAGTATTTTCCCTCCTCAATGTATGACCCCATAAAATTGACTAACACATAATATACTATTCAAATGGAGTTACAGTATCTGAAGAAATCAAACTTTCTTTAACTTCTTTTGCCGCCTATATACTGTAAATCATGAAATTAATGTGTCACGAATTTAATGCGAGTGCGAGGGTCTAGTCTAAAATGCGTATGAAATTAATGCGAGCTCAGGAATCTGTTGATGATAAGATGTGACACCCTGAATCTTTGATGTTGTTCATTTTATTTTCATACTTGTTAATTACCAAATAACCTGAATTGAGCTTGTTAAGCAATGAATGGAAATGAGCTGACGATGTTTTGATTACGCTGTCATGTTTGATCACGTGATTGTTTGCTGCTACTTGTCTTATGACAACATTTATAAACGTAATCCAACTTGAAAGAGGCAAGTCATCCACCAAAGTACAACAAACAAGTGGTTCGAGAATGTCCGGTCTGGCTGATGTGCTTGAGTGACTTTAAACAATGACCAGTGATTGTAACCAGTGATAATTACATGTGGCTTGAGATACCTGTAATGAGGAAGTGACCTGTACTGGTGTAATGTATAGTGTCAACACTTCCGCTATTATTACATAATTTGCCGATGAATAAGTTCATTGGATATCAATTAGTGTCATGGAAATTAGTCCTCATTTGTCGATTAATTTTATGGGAGATGTCTAAATTGTTATTATATACTTTATTGTTATGATGAATGCTAACCTGATGACGATGAAGACGACAAGAGATTTACGTTTACTGTCTTCTATTAAGATCTCAAAAGTAGACATGGTCAGACTGAAATGCGTCATTATAATAATGCGAGAAGAGTATTTCGCATTAATAAAATGCTCGCATTAATTTCATGATTTACAGTATTCTTATAGTGGATATCATTCTAGGCAACAGTCTAACATGGAGGCGGTAATATCCTGTACATGTTCAAACCGCAGCATGATGTAGTTGGCCACCCATATTAACAACCCATGGCGGCAAATAAAAAAACGAACATCACATTATTGTTGTCGTGTTGTTGTATGGAAAAGAATTTCCTGCCCGACGAAGGTTTGAGGAAATCAGCAGTCCCGTAGGAAATACCTGTCTGGCTTTGGGATCGATGTAGGCTGTTGGCCATCACAAAATAATTTGCCTACATGCGTAGTGCATGTTTGACATGCATATGATCAAAACTGCTTCACTTTCAGACAAGTAGACTTACGTCTTTGACTACTATGCAGAAAAGTTGCTTGTGTTTGAAAATAGCTCCAAATGGTTTGCAGATGGAATCCTCTGTAACGATGGAGGTTTGGAGTTTTAATCTAAATTCCATTGGCAGTTTTAGCTAAAAATGTATCAAAAGTATCCCCAGTCATGTTGTATTTAAACACTGATAATGAGGTAATTGTTAGATTTGCACTCACCTTGCTACCTAACAGCCTGCATCTCATTAAGTTTTTGTCCTCAAATATGCGTCTTGCTGTGGTACAGCAACAGGTTCACTTTCCTAATGTTCAGTAAACAACATGCTGATAAGGTCCCTTTTTACACAAGACAGTTGAAGTGATACATAAGTTACAATGGTTTGCTTTCCTAATGTTCAGTAAACAACGTAGTAAACGGTATCTTATTACACAAGACAGTTGAAGTGATACATAAGTAACAATGGATTGCTTTCCTAATGTTCAGTAAACAACGTAGTAAACGGTCTCTTATTACACAAGACAGTTGAAGTGATACATAAGTTACAATGGATTGCTTTCCTAATGTTCGGTAAACAACGGGGTAAACGGTATCTTATTACACAAGACAGTTGAAGTGATACATAAGTTACAATGGTTTGCTTTCCTAATGTTCAGTAAACAACGGGGTAAACGGTATCTTATTACACGAGACAGTTGAAGTGATACATAAGTAACAATGGTTTGCTTTCCTAATGTTCAGTAAACACGGATATACCGTTTCATATCATTACATAAAACAGATGTTGTTGATAACAACAAGCTGATACGGTGGCTTGTCATTATGTGAGACAGCTGTAATGTGACTGATAAGTTTTGACTGATGTAATACTATAGTAACAAACAAGGTGATACAGTATCACATCAAGTGTTATTAATCATGATTTAAAGTGCTGTCTATTTATTAGGGGTGACTATTGACGTGAAACAACTATTACGATAGCGATAGTCTATTGCAACATACTATTGTGATAGCGATAGTCTATTGCGACCAACTATTGCAATAGTTTTTTCTCTCCTTGAATTGTCTCATTTCCCAAATTATTGTATTGTTTATATGAAATAAAAACAAGCTGAAGTAGTTTCAGTCTCTTGTAATAACCGACAAGAAACTTGAAACCCAGACCAAGTTTGTTTAAGAGGTAACGGGCTGATAACTCTTAAAGTGAACGAATCTGGTACTTCCTGTATTTTGCGCTGCGTATTTATCAACGAAAGTCAATTAGTAAACTATCGATAGTCACACATACTATCCATGCTTTCGTTTCTACCATTGATTAATTGCTATCGGAGACTTAACAATTGCAATCCATCGATAGTTTGATGCATCGTTACAGCCCTAATTTAAAGTGCTGTCTATTTATGATAAAATACTGAATTGAGAACCAGAGAGCTTTATACACAGTGTTTACATGGGCATGTGTCGGAGTCACCTGGTTTGAATGAGTGAGTGAGTTTAGTTTTACGCCGCTTTTAACAATATTCCAGCAATATCATGGCGGTGAACACCAGAAATGGGCTTCACACATTGTACCCATGTGGGGAATTGAACACGGGTCGTCGGCGTGAAGAGCAAACGCTTTAACCACAAGGCTACCCCACTGCCCCACCTGGTTTGATTCACACAGTACAACATTGTTCTAGTACACATGGATGTACATTGTTCTTCACCTGTAAACTTCATCAACTGGTCTCTTGTTCCTCATGATGAAAACATAACTTGAAATATTCCTTCCAAAGAGAAAAAAATGGCTAAGCAAACCCATGCTATGTGAAAACTGCAGAAAATATGTTCAACATGTGTTCGATTTAAAATAGTTTAATGATTCCAATGCTGACCACATGGACATGTGTTTGCTTTCAATTAAATATGGATGATAGCAATATTCATTATTTATCCGCATATCCAAGTTTTTTGGGCCTGGGGTGAATAAGTATGTGTTGATGAACAGGACAGAGTACATTGAATGAAATAATTGTGATTTTCACTTTGTAATACGTCAATTTGTTTGAATCTCTCCTCATATGGGATTAATTTGCCATGTACCGTAATTAAGATCATATTTGTGTGTGTAGTGATAGATAGGCAGGTTGTTTGCAGATTGGGAGAGTTGTGAGTATTTCCGTCTGTTATTGCGTCTGCTCTCAATGAAATGATCATACAACCCGGACATTTTAGTGGGGTAATTTCACAAATATGCCTTTAAGCTACACAGTGCTGGAATAATATTCCCTAGTGTTAAGTGCTATTAATGTGTTCTGTATGACCTTTGTTCCCACCAGGGGTGGTGGGGTAGCCTAGTGGTTAAAGCGTTAGCTTGTCACACCGAAGGCCTGGGTTTGATTCCCACATGTGTACAATGTGTAAAGCCCTTTTCTGGTACCCCACCGTGATTTTGCTGGAATATTGCTAAAGGTGGCATAAAACCATACTCACTTACTCACTTGTTCCTATCAGTTGCTTGCTGTAATGATTAGTCATGTGATACGACAGTCTTTGATGAGTAGAACTTGGCCAAGTGGTTGACGTCATGGGATTTCCAGGATTTACAATGGCGCTCAGTCAACCAAGTCTTAGTCTCACCCCTCATCCATTTAGTCACCAACATGCACAGGTATCTCGGCACTAGACTAATTAGTCTCGGAATGTATATCATCTTCATAGAAACCAACGTTTCCTTTTAAACTGAAAAGGAACCCCACTGAGAAGGGAGCTTCAGAACCTGGGTCAATCTAGACTTGCTATATTTGGTGCTTTAGCACTGCAGAAAGGGCTGGGCAGAAGGGTAAATATTGCAGTTCAGGGACTGTGAGACAGACTGTCTTGGCACCAGTGCTGACATAAATTGCCCAGGTGGTAACTTCTGAACATGCCACTCAAAGAAATTTTCCTCATTGTTAAAATTTAGGGATATAGGCGGAAGTCTTACCCTGCAAAGATTGTTGTTCCTCAGAGATAGACAGAATAACCTTACCGTGAAAGTAAACCAATGTCTACAATATCAAGTTGTATGCACAAGAGTTGACATGCATGGTACAATATGTGAAGTCAATACTTTATACCCTCTCCTTCAATATTGCTGGAAAACTGCAATTTCTAAAGGTTTTACAGAGCTCATTAACTTTCTGATTAAAACCAGAGATGTTGGGGTAGTCTAGTTGATGAAGTGTTCACTTATATGCCAAAGACCTGGGTTCAATTTTGAAAAACCTCCGCCTGTATCCCCCCTTAAATATAATTCTAGTCAAATCATAAAATATCTGATGTGCCCCGCCGTGATATTGCTTGAATATTGGTAAAATCGGTGTAAAACCATACTCACTCACTCTAATTTGAATCGTTATTGGGGATACTGTTACTGGTTTGCCCAAATCATACCTTAAGAGGCTCTGCCCCATGGCATAGTTCACTGACGTATTTTAGCTAAAACATAACTACTAGAAAATTATATTAGTCACACCAGTCGAAGATACAGGAGAAACAGCCAACCTGACTCACACATATGTAATTTCCAACTGGTTGCAATCTCTCACCTTTCAAATCAGTTCTCATATACCAAAAGCTGTATTATACAACTTGATTGACCCCCAAGCTAACTTCCCATATACATACCATGGTCTCTCATCTAAACCACATAGACCATCACTCACCAGGGCTACAGATAAGGGGCGTACAGGTGTAATGTACGCCTCAAAATCAATTAAGTACGACATAATATAAGATTTCAAGCGTATCGTGTACGCACATAAATACCTTTGTACGTCTAACATTTAATTTCCGTGCGTATCGTGCAAATGGAAATCTATTTCGGATAAATACTTGTCAAGTTTCTTTTGCGAAACACGATTTGACACATGAGGAAACCCCGACAGTAGGAATCCTTTGCGTTGCCATGCAACGATATGCGTCACTATTTTTTGATTGGCTAAAAACTACACTGTTTCTATTTATATCCAGTCGGACCTGACATTTCGCGCATCACACGGTCGTTCAGTTATTTCTCACGCGTCTTCAAATACAAATACATGGTTGGAAATAGTGATCGATGAATCGTCCAGACAAACCACATCCCCAACTCGCTCACACAAAAACATGCCAGTACTCCTTCAAAATTCTCAGTACACCTCCACTTGCAATATGATGTGTAAGTACACTCACACCTCCAAAAGTTATCTGGAGCCCTGACTCACTACTTACATAACTGCATGAGCTTGCATGTCCTCACCCCAAAAGTGTCACATGTCAAGCATGAACACATACATTGTACTGATTAAGATCTTGACTCTTACCACCAGCCTTCAGTGGGAAGCCCATTTCTGGTGTCCCCCACCATGATATTGCTGGAATATTGCTAAAAGCGGCATAAAACCATACTCAGTCAGTCAGTCAGGATGCTGGATACGTCTTTCATTTTATATTTCTTCATGCAAACTGTTTTCATTCTTTTGATAAACTGTGGCTACTTATAAGCAGCGCAAATCTGTTTTGTACACTGAAAGCATTTCAGGTAAAATCTGTTATAGGTGTTGAGAAGTGGTCTTTGAAAAAACCCTATTCATTTGGGAATTCTTTCCTGAATGAAAATCTATAAAAAGCGAACAAGTGAAGGATTTTTCAGGTGCTAGGGTTGTTTTGGTAAGACAAACAATGAAATGACAATGTGAGGTATTACAAGACTGTATCTTGAACACCTTCTGTGGGCTGGAATCTGTCACACACGTGGGCAATTGTTGTAAGGGAGGTAACCCTGTAATACCTGTTTGTGTAACACTGCAGAAATGCAACTTCTTAATGGTGTTTGTTTGTTTATTTGTTTGTTTGTTTGTTCAACTCTCCACTCAGCAAATATTCCATCTAGATGATGATGGTCTAAAAGTAACCAAGTTTGTGCCAAAAGCACACTCTCTGTTGATAGGATGCATTGCACATCTACACTTCGTGGTTAACAGTGTAAGCTTTTCAGTAGATGCTGTAAGGTAGCCTATTGGGTAAAATATATCGATTCATCACACTGAAGAGGCGGTGGGGTAGCCTAATGGTTAAAGCGTTTGCTCGTCACGCCGAAGACCCGGGTTCGAATCCCAACCTGGGTACAATGTGTGAAGCCCATTTTTGGTGTCCCCCGCCGTGATGTTGCTGGAATATTGCTAAAAGCGGCGCAAAACCAAACTCAGTCAGTCACTCAGTCATCACACTGAAGACTTGGCTTGATCCCATCTGTTGGTTCTTTATGGTTCTGCTATGAAACTGTCTAAATATGACTGTAGATTAAAGGCACTCACTCACTCACTCATTGGAGTGAGCCTGAAAATCTGTTGATTAAAGAAGTACAATAATACTGAGCCATGACTGGGCATATTCGCATAGCACGTCATCATAGCATATTCGAGTGATGTCATCACAACATGATGTCATCATAATGACAGTACTTGCTTGAATTTAGTACAATGTCTGTATTTTCAGGTGGGAAAATTCAAGTAAAGATCATAACAACTGGTTACTATGACAACGAAGATGATTCCATACACATACTATCTCAGGAAGATTCATCGAATTTCCAGAATATGATTGTGGCTATTTTGGTGAGTATGTTAATTGTTCTCACTTCAGTTTTGCTGTGCTCCCTGAAATTGATATTATTGAGATTTGTTATGGTAAATATTTTGTTTCAGATTTACCTCGCTACTTCATTTTACACCCGTGACTCAAATTTCTGTCACAAATTATCTCCCTTTGTTGCCTGAACATTAGTAGATATATGCATGCGGTGTTCTGATAGCAGTTGATTAATATTTTTACTACCAGTACACGTATGACTTAAGGATTTTGTCATACCCAGCATGTGAAATATCCTGTATCGGACCAGAAACCAGTAGAATTATGCGTTTGTATCACTTTTTTCTCAGTGGAAATTGTAACAAATTGACATGCCATTTCTTATATTATATCATTACAAAACTATGTCTTCGGATTGTTTCAAACAAACTGTATCCAAGTGAAGTGAATAAAATATATGTGAAAAAAAAAACCCATCAGAATTAGGAATATCTCCAGTACGTCGCCTGTTTTTGCACCAAACATTCTTGTTCCAGTTCTTTACTTATGACATAACTCTGTCCATCATGGAGCTGCTTTGTAAATATATAGGCCCTACTCTTGGCAATTAGCTGGGTGAATTCGGAAGTCCTCTAAAAGTCGGACCAATTTACTCCCGTCGAATGCATGTCTGAGAGACTTCAATCTAGAGATGTGAAGCCATGTGTGTGCACTTGGGCTATGATGACTTCCAGTCTACTGAATACATTGTATCTGACAACAATTTGTCCTTTATCTCGGGATGCCATTCTATGTAGAAATGTTTTACAGCACAGCGATATGTTTATGATTGGTTTGCGGAGTGAAAGATTATCGGAAGTGCAAATCTGCTCTGTGAAAGAATGCCCTGTTGTGGTACGGGAAAAGCTGTTGAATCTGAACACGTTGGTAACACAAGTTGATATAATGGGAGGGTGTTAATTGTAAAATCATGGGCTGGCTGCCCGGGTTACAAAGAGACAGTTAATGTCCCACCATATGTCTATTCAAAGTCCTGTTGCTGGTCTATAAAGGAAGTCAAGGGAGTTTGGTCAACAAAATTCAACCACATGGGGTTGGTAGCTCAAAACTGTTTTCTCTGAGGGCTTATGGGCGGGAATTCTAAAATATTTTGTAATATTTTCATTTCTAATAATTACTTCATTGAAATACCTTGTGCCTAGCCAGATTTCCTTGTCTCAGTTAAACACCCTGATCTCCTCCAGAAACCCTTGTCAACACCTCAGCTGTATATCCTGGTCTGAATCAAACACCTTTGTTTGAGTCAAATACCCTTGTCTCTGTCAAACAACCATGTCACAATCAAACACAACTGTCGAAGCATGAAAGGGGATCAACATACCTGTGTCAGAAACATAGCCTCTCTATAAACCACATGGGGTTTCAAACTAAAAATAAAGAAACCTTTTCAATCTGGATCCTATCATTCTCTGTGAAATTGTCCGGATAAACATATTTTTAAAAAGGAGAATCTGAGTTAAGTCAAAATCTCATTTTGTCCTAACAGAAGGAAGAGGGGTTTCTAGATTAACAGGGTTCAGTGTAGCAAGGTTTAACTTTATCATAGTGTTTAACCTTCTTAAAAATCCTTTAAATGCTTTTTATCATCCAAAACTGTGTTCCACAGGAGATATCGCTTGTGTGTGATCATATGATATCTCCTAGGAGATATCGCTTTGACAGTAGATTTTGTACAATGCCCAGACAATGCTATGATGTCATCAACATGATGATGTCACAATGCTATGACATCACTGCACTGCAAGTATAATGGTATTACAGTGTTGATAGATGTACATTTTTCATTGAAAACTAATGAAGAATGATTTTTGATGATAAATAGAATCTCACCCTCGTGTCTACTGATATCAATTATATCAACACTCATTGATAAAGGTAAAAATATCCTCGCAAGCATCGGATATTTGTAACTTTATCAACTCGTGTTGATATCATTTATATCAGTAGACACTTAGATGAGATTCTCTATGTACATCATACATAGTAAATAACAGCTGATAATAACATTTATTACCCACATGGTCAACATATGGGTAGGTGCATGCTAATCTCGTACGTCACACGAGTGTCATATCGCATTGACCTGTGTCATATTGACTTGACCTGAGATTCTAACGATTTGATTGGATAACCGATGACCTCTCAATTAGGTCACGTTGTGACGGAACTACTTTTTCATTCATAACAATCACGTGAATTCATTCATTCTACAACTTATATGCATTGTGGGAATGTAAACATTGCGAACGTTGCCATGTCGCTGTTTAATTGTGAGTCGAACTGAGGCATTATATGTGTCGAAAAACATAAACGCAAAGTTTCCACCAGTGATGTTAGCCGAGTGAAGCAACTGCAAACTAAGAAACGGGTGCTACGGAGTAGTTAATGTAAGGCTGTAGGAGGCTGACAACTGACATGCATCTGTCATGACAAGGGGCAGACGAGCAATTACAGTGTGATGTCATTACAGTGTGAAAATGCAAAAGTGTACTACAGAACAACATTCTTCCGCAACCTCTTTATGAAACCATAACAATAACAAAAAGAATAACTATGCTATTTTGTCAATTTAAAGCATGTAAGACGTGGGTAATAAATAGAATACCACTCTCCGTCTCATAACATACGAATTATACAAAACTTGTGACCTTCCTATGGTTTCTGACCTCGCTTTCACTCGGTCAGATACCATAGAAAGGACACTCATTTCGTATAATTCGTATGTAATGATACCTAGTGTAGTATTCTCTATATGCATAGTGTGTCGAGCATGGTGCACACACGAAGCATCTCAAACAAGCAACAGGAGATTCAGCACTATAACTATCTTCCTCAGTTACCCATTCAGTTATTCAATTCAATGTTTATTGTTTGAAAGGCTACAGACCCAAACTACAAGAAACGCATATAATAATATGCAGGATCATTTTTCAAACAGATTCCCATGTTTCATTTAAATACGTTTCTGCTCTTGGGGGCACCTTTGAAGTTTAACATGGAATGTTTTAAATCATTAAAATTTGAAGATAAATACCCGAGACCCAAGTTGTTGTAAATAGCTGCCCAGTCAGTTCACACCCACACGTGACACAAGTACCATGCGAAGATGTGATGGAGATACTGGTGTCACTGCTGAATGAAGCAGGATCTAGTTCCTGATTCACAAGGGGGCGGTGGGGTAGCCCAGAGGTTTAAGCGTTCGCTCATCATGCCAAAGACCTGGGTTTGATTCCCCATATGGGTACAATGTGTGAAGCCCATTTTTGGTGTCCCCTGCCGTGATATTGCTGGAACATTGCTAAAAGCAGCATAAAACTAAACACATCTTTTAGGACAGTTTAAATGATGTCAAAATGAGATTTTGACTTAACTCAGATTCTAATTTTTAAAATGTGTTTATCTGGACAATTTCACAGGGAATGATATGATTCACATTGATAAGGTTTCTTTATTTTTAGTTTGAAAACCCATGTGGTTTATAGAGGTTAGGCTACTGACAGAGGTATGTTGATCCCCCTCATGCCTTCCCATCCCAAACTGGGGGGAGTGGTGTATAGTAAGGGGGGGGGGGGGTTTGTTAAACCATTTGCTCGTCATGCTAAAGCCCCAGGATCAATTCTCCACTTGTACATTTGTGAAGCCAGTTTGTGGTGTCTCCGTTGTGATATTGCTGGGATATTTGTAAAAGCAGTATAAAACCTTAATTACTCATAGCATAGATTGATGTTCATAATATCAATCACTGGATCGTGTGGTCCAGATTTGTGTATTTACAACTTGCTAGCATAGAGCCAGGAATACTGCTGGAACTGGTCAAACACACTCATCAAGCAGACCCATCACATCGTTTGAAATTAAACATGAAGGTCAAGCAGACCTTGCAATAACCCGACCATTTAAGTTTAGGTTTTGGGGTTCAAATACCATCGGAAACAAGCTCATGTGTCCCAGGATTGTGAAACTAGGACTCAGCTTGTCAGTTAAGGAAGGACCGGGGATGAGATAGTCTGTGACTAAAACAAACAGGGGATGTTTGAACTGGCTGCACCCACAGGTAGATCAGTGTACTGTGTTACTCTGGAGGACAGGTGTTGCCGAGGGGTTGGGAGGATCAGGGGCTGTCTCGGATCATGGAGATTGGAAGAACCTGTGGAGGGATGGTTATGCTGGGTCTGGTTTCAGAAATTGTTTGTTATTTATCACAGGTTAATGTAGTTCTGATGGACATGTCTACTTCATATCTTGAGGGCAGGTGGGTGGCTTGGTGGTAAAAGTGTTTGCTCATAATGCTGCAAGTCAAGGTTCAGTTCCCAACATGTGCATTGTGTTAAGTCCATTGGTATGTCCCACTGTGGCCTTAAGGCTTTTTCACTCAGACACCCATTGACTGAGTGAGCGAGTGAATAAGGTTTTAAGACAGGAATTAGTAGCCCATGGCTCACTTGATCAAAGTGATCACATCAATATTTATGCCATCATGTCTCTAAGAATGTGATCATGTATCTAAGTCTGTGATAACATCGCCAAGTCATTTGTGTTGAAATATTGGAGCTGCAAGTTGATCTGTGGTGCTTTTGTCCTGACTGAGTTGTTTCTACAGAGGATGAGTTTCTGGGATATCCTATATTTCTATTTGTTGAAACAGGTCTCAATAATTATCATCAATAATATAAATGTATTAACAATTAAGTAAACTGGCATCATAGTGTGTGTTTGGCACGTTTGATGCTGGATGATCCAAGATTGATCTAATTATTAGCATGTTTGTCAACATCATATCCATGCATATTAGGCCTGATTCAATGCCCGTGATGTTAAACACTGGATTGTTTGGTACAGAATCGATTATTTACAGACTGCATTCATAAAACTGGAATATTGCTGAGTGCAAACAAAATCACAGGTCAAAGATATGCATCACTTCAGGCTTCCAGTTGTCGTGTGTGTGTGTGTGTGTGTGTGTGTG